AGAATTGGTCCTAAATCTACTCGTGGTCGGGATCTGAAGAACAATGTTCAAGTTACAAATGTTGGTGTACAAGACACTGATAAGCGAAGTGAATCTATTTATAATGTATGTGAAATCACTAGGTGTGAGCGCCATCGTTTTGGTCGCAAACCTGATAAACCAAAAGGACCTAATTTACTAAACCTGGTTGCTATTAAAACAAAACTCACTGATATCAACAACAACAAGGTATGCGCAACACCCTTGCGTCTCTGTACCTTAAACTGCAGGTCAAGTAAAAACAAATCATTTTCCATCAATGATTTCATTGTGTCAAGAAACATCGATATTCTTGTTTTGACTGAAACGTGGCTTGGTAGCGATATAGATAAATGTGTTATAGCAGAAATGACACCGGTTGGTTATTCAACTACTCACCTACCTAGAAAACAAAAAAAAGGGGGGGGGCGGACTAGCTTTTATCTACAAACGAAACATGGATATACGACCTATCAAACCAGAAACCCAGTACACCCATTTCGAACACCTGGATTGTGTCATAGGGATGCCAAACTGTGTAAGTTCTTGTTTGTGTGCTATTTACCGCCCTCCCCCATCAAAAGGAAACAACTTTCGAAATTCGACCTTCTTTGAGGAATGGTCAAAATATCTTGTCAATTGTATTATTCTTGCGGAGGAACTGATATTACTTGGTGACCTAAACTTCCATATTGATCGTCCCAGTGACTCTGATTCAAAGACGTTCATGAAAATATTAAATGATCATGGACTTTGCCAAAGAGTGCAAGGTGCGACTCATGTCCATGGCCATACCTTGGACGTTATGATTACTAGGGAGGACAGTTCCATTCTGCTATCTGATCCGACGATCAGTGACCCAGTTTTGTGTGATAACAGAGGAAATCCTGCAGGAGACCATTATGCTGTTCATGCTCTGATACAAATCTCTAAACCAAAGCCTGAACGAAAAACTGTGTCTTTCAGGAAGTTAAGTGAGATTAACATTGATGAATTTAAGAAAGACATTTCTTCATCAGTCAGTCAGCAAAACATGGACATGCAGATTGATGAACTAGTGGCGACATATAACACCAGTCTTAAATGTATCCTTGACAGCCATGCACCTGTTCAGACAAAAGAAATAATCATAAGACCAAAAACACCATGGTATAACGCCAACTTAAAAGCAGCCAAGCAGGCTCGTAGAAAAGCAGAGCGGAAAATGCGTGAAACTGACTTAACGATACACAAGCAAATTTACAGAAAATTGTGTACCGATTATTCAAAACTGCTGCTGCAATCGCAGCAGGATTACTACTCCACAAAGATATTGGAAATTGGACATGACCAAAAACAACTACATGTGTATAAAACCTTACTAACAATCTCATGGGGAGGGTTAAGGAGACTGTCTTTCCAGCACATGACAGCAAAGAGATGCTAGCAAATAGGTTTTGTGATTTTTTTACTGGAAAAATTGAAACGATCAGATCTGAACTTAGTAAATCTAAGCAAGTTAATGTTAGCGAGGCACTAAAGAGTGATATTCAATATGTGGGTCAGGAACTTGTTGTTTTCACTGAAGCTACAAACAAGGAGATCTATGATATCATCATGGGAGCACCAACTAAGTCTTGTGAGAGTGACCCAATCCCAACATCTTTACTTAAACCATGCATTGAAGAGTTGCTTCCCTTAATAACAGTGATAATAAACAAATCATTATCTGGATCTTCAGTACCGACAACCTTTAAAGAGGCTATAATTCGCCCTATTCTGAAGAAACCGGAATTTGACTGTAATGAACTGAAAAATTATAGACCAGTTTCCAACTTACCATTTATTTCAAAAATACTCGAAAAGGTAGTATCAAAAAGACTAAAGCATCATCTGGAAGTGAACAATCTACAGGAACCACTGCAGTCGGCATATCGAGCATGCCACTCTACAGAGACGGCACTCCTCCGAGTCCATCATGACATTGTATCAGCGCTTGATAAAAATTCCTGTATGGCCCTAGTGATGCTAGACTTGTCTGCTGCGTTTGATGTGATCGATCATACCATCTTACTCAGACGTCTCAGGTTCTCTTTTGGAATTTCTGGGGCAGCTCTGGAATGGATCGAATCCTACTTGACACAGCGCACACAAAGAGTAGTCATTGGTGGGAGTGCTTCCGAAGATCTTGTTTTGCGGTTCGGAGTACCACAAGGCTCAGTGCTTGGACCAGTCTTGTATTGCCTTTTCTCGAAACCTATCGGTAAAATTTGTCGTGATCATGGCATGCTGTTCCACTGTTATGCAGATGACACACAAATATACCTTGTTATAAAACCGAACGAAACATGGCCAGATTTAAAAAGTCGACTAGAAACTTGTTTAGCTAACGTGAGAAGCTGGATGTGCGCAAATCTACTAATATTGAACAAGGATAAAACTGAGTTTATTGTTTTTACACCAAAGAGTCAGTTTAAACGATCTTTTACACACCAACTTGATTTTGATGGTTCTGTCATCTGTGAATCAGATTGTGTGAAGAATCTGGGAGTGTTTTTCAACAAATCACTTACCATGGAGACTCAGATTAGCGCAGTGTCCAAATCCTGTTTTTACCACCTACGAAATATCAGTCGAATTCGTCCATTCATAACAGAAGATGCTTGTAAGACTCTAGTTGTCGCTCTAGTAACATCAAGACTTGATTATGGAAATGCACTACTCTATGGAATTACAGAGACAAATATATCACGGCTACAGAGAGTACAAAATACGGCAGCAAGGATTGTCACCCGAACTAGGAAGCATGAGCATATCTCCGAAGTTCTGATATCTCTTCACTGGCTTCCAGTTAAATTTAGAACATATTATAAGATCCTTTTATACACTTTCAAAGTACTCCAGGGGACATCACCATCATACCTAAAGGAACTCATAACAGTCTATCAACCGTCAAGAACTCTACGCTCGTATGACTCCAAACAACTTGTGAAACCTCGTGTTCGCACGGAGACATACGGAACGCGTCGTTTTGACCATGCAGCGGCAACTTTGTGGAATGGTTTACCGGATGCTCTCCGGTTCCAGACGTCACTTTTAGCTTTTAAACGAGATCTTAAGACTCATCTTTTTAAGATAGCATACGACGTGTAATTTTTTATTTTGAACAAGTTATCGAGTTTTATTAATATTGTCCTCAGACTATTTATTTTGGGCACAACCTGTATTGTGTGAAATTTTTAATGTGATCTCAATTTGATCTTAGTCTAGCAGCTTATAATTTTAGCTTACTCTTATGTTAGTTACGATCTCTTTGAATGATTTTAGGTTTTATGTTTTTTATGATTATTGTGTTGTATTTAACTACTTGTATATCTGAAATAGTGTCTGTTCAGCGCCTTAGAGTAAATTATTTTAAATAGGGCGCTATACAAATGCTATTATTATTATTATTATTATTATTTCATTGAATTTCGGAAAGTTCTAGATGCAAGAATGAAGTCGCTGATTGAAAAAGGCATAGGGTGTACTTGATCCTATTTTACCAGAAGATGAGGCCAAGTTGTGGGATGTTGGAGTGTTTGGAAAGAAAAATGCAGAACAACTTCAGAAAACGATTTTCTTTTACGCATGTAAAATCTTTGGTCTGCGTGGATGTGACGAACATCATAACCTAGCATGTGAACAGTTTACTATTGGATCAGATAAGCTGGGAAAATTTATTGAGTTTACGGGTCGAAAAACCAAAACGTACAAAGGTGGACTCGGACAGCTAAATGTGTGCAACAAGACCATTAAACATCACTGCCAGTCCGGTAAGAGAATCTCTCTCTCTCTCTTTCTCTCTCTCTCTCTGTGAGGATGTACAATTACTCGTTCACTTTGCTTACAAATTCAAAATTTTCTTGTAGGGGAGAGATGCATTGCTGACTATTTTGATCTATATCTGGATTCCCTTGGACGTCGAGGAGCAATCTATCGAAGATCTCTGCCCGCAACATCTGAGGTGCCAATTCGATACGGAAATCAGGTCGTGGGAATTAACAAGCTGAAAAACTTCATGCGAATCATTTGCACGGAAGGTGGTTTACAGGGTAATTATTCGAATCATAGCGGCAAACGTACTTGTACGACCCAGCTATATATGTCTGGTGTTGAGGAACAGCAGATAATGGATCGGACTGGTCATCGTTCTCAAGCAGGTGTCCGCAAATACAAAAGATCCAGTGTGCAAATGGAAGCTAACGTGTCATAGATCTTGGATCCGCCCAAGGAATGTCCCGAGAATTCCACTCCGATGAATTCTCCAGATGGATGCGCTCCAGATATTTCAGACAAGTGCCCCGCTATTCCACTGACTGCAGCAAACGTCCAGGGTGAGGAGGAACCTCAGAGCAAGAGATTCACACCGAACAGATTCCCATTTGGAGAATTTAAAAATTGTTACATTACATTTCAGTTTTAAAGTGAAAATTTCACAAAGGTCAATTACTAGCCAGATAGATTGTTAAACTACTCAAACCCAATTTTTTTTAGAATTGGTTTTTTTTTTTTTTTTTTTTTTTTTTTGTTGTTGTTTTGTTTTGAACTTGCTTGCAAGAATTGTACAAGGTCATCAAATTTAATTGAAAGGTGTTTTTTTTTGAGAGAGAGAAAAAGCTTTACAATGGTTGATTAAAGGATAAATTTTGTGAGGATTTCATTTCTTTTCTTACCTTACAATAATTCTAAAATTATTGTACGTACAATCACCACGCCCCCTTTGATACAGTGCAATAACTTGCAGTTTCTAAAGTTATTGTACGATGGTAGGCCACGCCTACCTGGGAATAGAAAGGGTATTGGAAATTACAGTACACTTATCATCAAAGAAAATACGCCGCATAAGTGCCACAATGTATGATTATTGGTTTAAAAAACCAATTCTCATCATAATGATAAAAATAATTTTGCCTGGATCAGTGCAGATGCACATGAATTTTTAAAAGAAATATAGCATTCATTTGTAGTAAAGATCAAAGGATTCATAGATAAAGACAGTTGATATCATAATTTGAGAATAGATAAAGAAATTAACAAAGTTTATACAATGTATATTTCGACAACGATTGTAAAACGAACATTTATTTCTCATTTCGAGACATCCAGTGACTGTCACCAGCATTCCCCATGTACGATGTCCACTGTTGCTTTTCAAATGGAAGAACACGGGAGCATTTCTCTGATGGGTCACATTCCTTACAAGTCATTAATAGCCTTAATCTATTAAAAAAGATGAGAAAAAACATAGTTAAGCTAAAAGACCTGTAATAATCCCTTGTTCTCTTTTATCATTTTAGCGAGCTTCTGGCCCTTGTTTCTTAAAAAATAATTAATTTGCGTTTATTGCTTTAAGATAAAAATCTGAATATACACAACTGCATTAATACGGCAAGTTCTTTAGTGCATCACTATTATCATATACACGAAAACACAAAATCTGAGAGCAATGTCTATACACATTTATTGAGGCACGAAAACGTCAGTTACAGAAGAAATTTAGGGAACTATCAAAATTTTTTTTTGAATTGGATAAAATTGTGAAATTGTTTTTTAAAATGTTTTTTTTTTTGAATTTCTTATATGGGAATATAATCTGTAATTACAATTGTATTAATTTTTTTTTAAAACGAATTCAAAAATTTGTAATACCGTTCAGCTCAGTCGGTAGAGCGCTCGCTCCGTGATCGGGAGGTCGTGAGTTTGAATGACCTTAGGCGACAAAAGATGGGTAGCAACTGTTCCCTCGCCGTGCACTCTGCACTTGAAGTGAAAGTTGTGTGTTCTTTGTATGAGATCTTGTAAAAACCGAGATTCTTTGTCATGGCAGGCATTAGCACGATAAGGATCCATCACTGCCCCATCTCCCTGCGTGCCGAGTAAAGGTCAAAATTTGAAGGTTTTCACCGGTATATGGTGATATATTTACATGGGCGAAAATTACCGAATTTGTGATAACTGATATTAAATCGAACTTTAAAATTTTGTATAACCATTTAAAAAACATATTCGTTACACCAAAACATTTTTTCTGAACACCCTAAAGTTAAGAATAAGGTCCATTTTAAAAAAAAAATAGACTTTATTTAACAAATTTAATTGGGTATAATATTTTTAATATTCATTTTAACGACAACTGAATTAATTTACAAATATTTAAGCAATTTTATAAACAATTGTCAAAAATGTTTTTTAACAAAATATTTATTTGTAATTTAATAATATATTTAATGATATAATTATATAATTATATATTTTTATTATATATTCCAAGCTCTCTGATTGGCTAAAACTTGATCACATGATTTTAAGTAAATAGCAACATATGGACTTGAGTTACTATTTATAGAATCTGAAATGCATAATGTATGATGTTTCTTAAAATGGAGAAAACTTTCTGTAAAAAGTACTCATTTCACAATTATAGCTTATACAGTATATGACTTGTGGTTTCTGAAAAATATATTTACTTCAACTTGTATATTTTTCTATTGAATTAAAATGAAGAGCCAAATTTCAGGAAAAATTTAAACTTTACGGTAAAAACCGATCCCGATTGAAATAAAACCGATCCCGATCGGAAATAATGCAAAATCAAAATTAATAAATTCATCAAACTAAAGACACCTAACACCTATAAGACATGTAAAAAAAATAAATCAAGTAATTTTTTAATCATATCACAACAAAAGAACCAAATTTAATGTTACAATTATAGTATTTTCTTCTTTATATAATTCTGGTCGGGATCGGTTTCATTGGTAAAATTATAAAAAAATAGGTAAATTTGACTCCTTTTATTTCTTTCAATATACCTGTTCCCACTGATTTTATTGAATGACTCAAAAGTTTGTACTTTGTATTCGTAATAACATAAGAAAAAAGTTTTGTCCTTGTAATGTATTGGGTTTTATAACGTAATGAAAATTGGATACTGAATTCAAAAACTCATTTGCTAAACTCAAATTTGAACCATATGATTTTTTCTAAAGAAATATAAATTGGAGTCTTATTCATTCATAAAATAAAAGATAAGAGTCTATGCTAAAAATAATATTCATCGACACATCCAGCTTTTGAGTATCTGTTACATATAAAACAAAATAAAAACGTAGTAATTTTTTTACTCTCATGTTGACCTTTTTGCAGTTAAAATTAAGCATTTACCAAAAGTAGGACTAGAAGAGCAATAAAATTTTTTTGATGTTGTCATGTGTAAACACTTGCTTAAATAAGTCTACATGCAAAAAATAACTAAAATCCATGACATGTGATGTGCCACCCATTGCCTGGTTTTTCGGTGGACTGCCTCTTAATTTTTATATTTGTAATGTTCTGTAATTGATAAGACGTAACAATGCCTTGAATTAGGATCTACTTTATATTAGAACGTAATGAATATGTTTTTAAAAATATTGATACAAAACTTAATTAAATAAATGTAGTATTTTAAATTAGTTAAGGTCAGACGACACATTTCTCAAAAGTATATAATTTTTCCTAAGAATTTGTTATTGAAGTATAGGTACTTGAAGTATAGGTACTTAACAAGTTTCCTCACAAAATATTGGATACCTTACCAGGCATTTGGACAATATACCACAGGGTCATATTTCTTATATAGCCCTCATGGGTAATCTGATGAATGGCCTCTTAATTTTTGATGTTCTTCTGGTACATGTATGCTTTTCTGTAAGTCGATATATCTATGGATCGACCTCATAAAAGTGCTATATTCATATAATCTATATATTGTACCGGCATTTGACAAAATAAAAAAAAGTTCTCAAATTCTACCTGTATATAGTCATCTGACCCATATGTATATTGTATGGATTGTAGGTTGACTGGGACTCGTAAGTTTCATTATCAGGTAAATTGTGACCACTTTCTTTGAGACATTCTTTAGTAATAACCTGCTCGAATCCATCGTGATCCAAACCGAAGTGTTTACCTAAAAGCCAAAATAAATGAAATTTAGATATAACAAGAGCACCAGAAAGCTGGACCTCTCTTTGAGGAAAGCATACCCATGAATCAAGGCAGCCCGATGCAAATTACGTCACTTCCGTTTTGCACAAATCAAACTAACAGACACAAACACGTTCCAACAGACGCATAACTAATCTCCTCCGATCCTAGCAAGTAAGTTACAACAAATATAATATAGTCAAGTTTTGAAGAAAGAATAATGATTTCCATTCATTGAGAAAGTAAAAATTATATAAATTCCTCCTCTTAACTCAAATTGTGCACTTTATTTATATCACAAGAGTTATCAAGACCTATCAACTTTATCGAAATTTTCAGTAAATTAAAAAAAAATACTAATAAAAGTAATGCCTATAATGATAACACAAGGAGTGCAACGCATTCAGTCACCGGGGGACACCTCTTAGCACTGCTATCGAGGTTGTCGCGCAATCAAATATCAATTGAATATTATAAAGCACAATCCATTATTTTTTGAAGGAACCATTCTTTATGTCTGTTAATGCATGTGAATTAAAATGGCTGTTTAACAACGGTAGCAGTGACATTAATTTCTCCACGTCTTCGCTCAAACGTTGGTTGTCCGCGACGCCATAACGTGAAGTTATAACGACCGCGTCTATTTATCCTAAAAGATCAAAACTGCCTGAAATGAAAAATAAAATGTTAATTTAGATAACTGTCATGTGCGATGTAAAATCAGAGTTATGTCAGTAGATATCCCAGAAAATTTAAAACGGGGAGGGGAATGGTTGCGGGTCTGGGGTTTGGATAAAGAGCGAATTGCAAAGGGGGGGGGGGGGGTCACTGGAGCTAGTGTTTATATACCGTCTAGTTGTACTGTATTTTACTGATAAAAATTAGTATTCTAATTTATAAACTTAAAAAAAAAAACATATCATAGAAAAACACATTTTGAAGTAATACCCGGTATACATGTTATACATGTATTTACAATGTTTTACAAACGAAATCAACAGTTCTAGATTTCCGGTTTTAAATATCGGTGTAAAACATTTAAAGAATACCATAAATTAAAGTACACAATGATATGAAGAAATAAAAAAGAATTACGTATATATTCACTTCAAGTAAACAAATGACTTGAACGTAACAAGAAACAGTTTTCATATGAAAAACACAAGTTACAAAAATGCATTGGACACTTTTTTATTCTCTTAGAATGAAGCGGTATGAAAAGTGCGAGGGCCTGTTACTGTACAAGTATTTATGATGTGGCGGAGTCATATTTATTTAAAATAATTTTTTTTATCTTTATTGAATAACTTAGTGAGCCATAATTTACTATATGCCATATTTGATAGTAGTCTCCATTCATGAATTCTACTCACAAAATCTCATTGGCCAGTAAATTTGTACCCCTTGTTTAACCGGTTTTTCTGCTATATATACTGAGGCATGGGCCCATCCCTGTCAGTGCGGGAAATTTAACTTACATATTACCAGCTGCCCGTTGTCACCACTTGAAAGGTAATTTTCTTAGTCTATTAAATTTTTGCATTTTATTCATTAAGTCCAAGTTATAAGCTCAAGTGTTTTTCATATTTTTGAGAGAAAGGTATTTTAAACTATGAAATTGACGTTTTTGGGCTTAGTAAACTTAAATTTTCTTATTTTTGAAGTGAATAGGAAATAAAAGTATTTTGTCTCAGTGTCTATGTGTATTATGATATTGTATATATGTTTTTGTATTTGTAGATCTGCCATTGCTTTTTCATTTCCAAATAAATTTATTAAACTGAACCTGCGTTTTCCATTCCCGCTTGGTTACATTTGGCGTCACCGGGAACTAAAGCAATGGCTAGTGGTGACAACGGAGAATTACATGTAAGATTCCAACAACGTGAGTAGAACTTCAAATTCCATTACATCAATGAAACATCGTGGGAAAGGAATGTTTACTCGAGCGTAAACTACCCGTACCATTCTCGGCTGTTACAATGGCGAGTCATCCAACTGTAAAGTCGTTACAGAAAGAAATCAAAGGTCTGCAGAATCAACTTAGTGAAATGGGCTGGAAAACAAATTACGAACCAAAAGAACCAAAAACTGTTTATGTGCAGCGAGATCGCACTGTTCCGAAATTCACCGGCAATAACATGGATATAGAGGACTGGATAGAAAATGTTCAATATGCAGCACGTGGTATGACAAAAGAAGAAGGGGCGGATCTAATTTACCAAAATCTATCTGGAAATGCGCGAGACGAAATCAAGTATTTGTCAGGTGATGTACGAAAAGATCCTCTACATATGGTTAAAATTTTGCGGGATGTATTCGGTGATAGAGACAGTGCTATTAAATTACAGAAGAAATTTCTTGACAGAAAACAGAATGAAACTGAAACACTGCGTCAATATTCTTACGGTCTGATGGATATCATTAGAAGAATTACTCGGAAAGACTCGTCAGTTTTCGGAAACCAAGATAGAACATTGTGTGAACATTTTTCAGAAAATGTCAGAGACCAGTATCTACGGAAACATCTAAAACGTATTCTGCGCACGCAACCGGATATCACGTTTAGGGAACTTAGAGAAGAGGCTATACTCTGGTCAGAAGAAGATGAACATGGCGAAGTCTCGTTTCAAGAATCACTGGAGAAGAAATCAATTGAACAAAACCGGGAGTCCGAGAGTGAAAAGAAAACTGAAGTATTGACAGAAAAAATACCGAAGCAAACGGAAAGTGAAAGTGAAAAGAAAATCAAAGAACTTACCGACGCATTGAAGAAACAATCGTGTCAGATAGAAAATTTAACAAAAGCTGTCAATTCCAAACAAAAATACTACGACAACAACTGGTATTATTATGATCGACCACTTACCATGCTTACATGTTACCGATGCAAAAAGCAGGGACACAAAGCTAATGAATGTCCAACAAAACTGGATTCTACAAATTCTGAACAGGAAAACAAAAGCCCTTCGTAATGCCGAGTCCCGTTATAGAGGGGAGTGAAACGGACTCATGGAAAATGAACACACGTTTAGTTGGTAAATGTCCTTCAGTATTTGTGACAATGAATGGTGTTAGTGTTAATTGTTTAGTTGATACTGGATCATCAGTTTCTACAGTGACAGAATCATTTTATGAGAAACATCTGAAGTCAGCAACGAAATTAAATACAGACATTGTGTTTTCTTTGAAAGCATCTAACGGACTTTCCATACCGTTTATTGGATACATCGAGGTCAACATTGAGGTCATGGGTCAACAGTTACAGCAAGTGGGTGTGTTAGTTGTGAAAAATTGATTTAGAAACACGTCAGCGTAAGGAAAACATTCCGGCCATTCTGGGAATGAACACGATTTCACTGTGTAAGAGTCTATTAGAAACACAACACGGAGCAGAGTACACAGAAAAAGTTGAAGAAATTTCAGCAAATTACAAATTAAAAGAACAATTCAAAGCATGTGACAGAAATCTTAAACGTGATGTCATAGGATATGTTAAAGTCTGTGCAAAGTCTCCAGTACGCATTCCGGGAAAATCTGTTACTGTTATCAATGGTACAGCACCAAAGATGCCAAGACTGTATGAGGCCATGGTAGAACCGTTAACATCTACTCAGCATTTGTCATCAAACATTATCGTTGTCCGGACTCTTAGTAAAGTGAACCGTGGATTTCTATGCTTTCGTATCGCAAATATTGGTACTGACGATGTGTGGTTAGCACCCAGAACAAGAGTTGCCGTCCTTGTCAATGGCGATGTACTTGAAAATTCATCTAACATCGAATTCACTAGAAAAGGAAATACTGAAGAGATTTTTGTTCAACAAGAATTTATGTGCAGTGAAACCACAAATTCAGAGGAAGTGACAAGTGATTTCAAAATTCCACCGGAAATAGAAAAGTTGAATTTAGATCCTGCACAGATGAAAGAAATTCGCAACCTTTTCTACCGAAATCAAGATGTATTCTCTCAAAATGATGATGACATAGGATATACTACAGCCATAAAACATACTATTCGGACAACAGACGATCAGCCTATAGTGCAACCTTACAGACGAATACCCCCATCACAATATGAGGAAGTGAAATCACATATTCGTAAATTGTTGAACAACAATATTATAAGGGAGAGTACTAGTCCATACGCATCACCGATTGTGTTAGTCAGAAAGAAAGAAACTTAAAACATCACATGCATTCAAAATGAAATTGAAAAATTATATTACATATTTTTAGCCGGGCTTATTGCTCAAAGAGCAATTGCCGGCTTATGTCATCCTGTTTAAGACAGGATGTCAACCCCATAGTCGCCATTTTAAAGTTACGTGTAAAAATATAGTTCTTACTCTCAGCCGCTTCTGAGATAATACAAACGCTATATAAAGCAACATAAATAAAACGAAGTTTTATCTAAATGAATAAACATTAGTAGTAATGACTTTGAAAACTTCAGTCTTAAGTCAAAAAACATAGTTTATTAGCGTAAGGATTTCTGATAATCAGTGTTAAATAAATAAACATTAGTAGTAATGACTTTGAAAACTTCAGTCTTAAGTCAAAGAACATAGTTTATTAGCGTAAGGATTTCTAATGATCAGTGTTATCGTAGTTCAATCACAACTTCTCGGACCTTTCCGACTAGCGGAAAAACAACCTCGAATGTATATGGTAGATGCCATGACAACCCTCCCTTTTCATGATCTTTGAAATAAATGCATGGAGACCTTTTGTCTGTGGAATATGGAGTTTAACTTTATTCAATGTAATGGTATTACCTAAAATATACTATAGAAGGGACTTCTAACTCCATCTATCCTATATATGACTAAACAGGAAATGTATAAATTTTGATACATTCGAGGTTGTTTTTCCGATCTCTGACGGAAAGACCCGAGATGATGCGATTGATCGTAGTTCTCTAAACTAACGAGGAAAACAGGAGAGGGAACTAGACTGGCCTGTTTGTTTACATTCAGCCGT